ACCTCGAATAGGGCTTAAGACTAGATTTTTCCCATTTGTATGGCAAACTGAATTATTTCTAGACACCTTAACCAGCACCAACATTTTCCCTAAAGTCCAGTATTGTGTAAAAGTCAGAGACCACCGACTAAAATGGTCATTAAGTACAAGATATACATTTTTCAGGAGATATTTCTGAAAAGATTAGACATACATTAATCAAAACTGGAGTTTAAAAAGCGATTAAAAGATACAGAGAAAATGAAGCTCCTAACAACAAAAGGCCTGGTAGACCACCAATACTGTCCCAGTCAGATAAACAGTAATTAAAGCTTTCATCTTTAAGAGAGAGGAGAAAATCAAGCTCCACTCTTTCTTCGGATTTGAAAAATCCTGTCCATCCTTCCACTGTGAGAAGACACTATGAGTCTGAAAGGATGTGCAGCTGTCAAAGTTTTGCGGACTGATGAGTCTAAGTTTGTAGTTGGAATTAGTTGCATGGTAAGAAGCAGAAAATACAACCAACTTCTAAGACTGAACTTTAGAGGTGTGGAAAAATATCCCTGACAGCAAATCACCTGAAAAGGAGAAAAGCTATAATAAAGACAAAGGGTGTCACACTATATACAGAAAAAATGATATTACATTTAGTTGTTGAGATGATAACTCTGAAATTTCCTGCTAAATATGTTTCTGCTTTTTTTCTCCCCTGATGCTACAAACTGGCTGTTTTGAGTGGAAACAAATGAAAAGGTGTCCATGACTTTTGCGCAGTAGTTTGCATATATGTCTGAATATGTATTATGTAAGGTACATCTGAAGTATAACAAAACGACAGCAACAACAACACTAGATGTCCATAGGTAACACACCTTGTACGTGGATATGATTACATGATTCTATGCTGTTTATTGTGTCCGTTTGTCTAAATTTCTAACTCAGTTCTTCGTTGATGGCATGCAGTTTTGACAAAATAAGAAGCAAACAGTATCTGTGTAGAACAGAAGTGGCCCTGCAGGCTCACTGGAGTATCCCCTCTTATTCCATACCGTCCACCCACACTTCACACTTTTCCTCTGTCTCTTTACTGCTTGTCCCTGTAGCCTTGCCTTCTGCCTGCAGTTCTGCAGATCACACACTTCATACTGTTTGTATGAGTGTGTGTGTGTGTGTGTGTGTGTGTGTGTGTCTGAGTGGGTCACTGAGACATGGCCTGGGGCCGTAGTGACAGTAGTGAGAAATGCGTCACGGCCATCACTCCTTCAGAAAAAGGCTGCAGGTCCACTTGCTCTTATTTCACGGATTGTGCTCCATCTCTCTCTCTCTCTCTCTCTCTCTCTCTCTCTCTCTCTCTCTCAGTCTTCTCCCTGTTGAGCGGCAGAAGCAGCAGAGCAGACTCGAGCTGTGTAGCTGTTTAGACCCGTTCAGAGTCATTGTCCCTGATCACACCCTGAGACGTGACCTGGAACCCTTAGCAGTGGGCAGCAGTGGGCTGTTCAGGGAGTTCAGATGGACAGAGAGAGAGAAAGTGCAGTGTGTTTGTGTCTGAGTACCAGGGAAGGCAGGTAATAGATGTTTGGTGTAAAGTGAGGTAATGATGCAGGCAGAATAGGAGGATAGGACAGCTGGATAGGATGGACAGCTCCGTAAGAGAAACTTTGGAGGTTATGTGTGAGAAGCTACAGGCTGATGATCATATTCTCAGCTAAAATAATCTGTAAATAATCTAATCAAGCATACAATTGTAGATAACAATAATAATAATAATAATAATAAGAAGAAGAAGAAGAAGAAGAAGAAGCAGATGAAAAAGAAGAATAGTAAATTGGTCACACTTTAAAATGAGGTGCATTTCACTAACATTATTTAGTGCTTTAGTTACCGTTAATGTTCTATGATATTATTAAAGCTCTATGCAGCGCTAATCAACCATAAGTAAACTAATAAACTCCATATACACATAAAACGTGCCACAAATCATTGCTTAAGCAATGCCATAGAAGAATGTTTTTTGTATATGAGATGCGCAAGTGTGAAGAGACATACACAATATTTAAAGGTTCTTAATGAATTTAAGGGTTCTCCTTCTCTTTTAAGGTTGAAAAAGTTCCTCACCCTATACACGTTTTACAAAAAAATTAAAAAAAAACAGAAAATGCATATTTAACAGAAAATAACACTTTTTTCAATAATGTGTCTACTATTTACCTTTATTACAGCTTCCATTCCTTTCAGAAGACTTGCTTTCAGTTTTTCAAAGAAATCTGCAGGGATATTTTTCCACATCTTCAGTTCAGTCTTAGAAGTTGGTTGCATTTTCTGCTTCTCATAATGCAAATATTCCCAAACACATTCAGTGATGTTGAGGTCTGGACTCTGGGGTGGTCAGTCCATTGTTCTGAGAACACCCAGCAGCCTCATTTGAAGCTAGAGTGGAGTGTGATTTTCTCCTACCTCATAAAGAGGAAAGCTTTGAGTACTGCATCTCATAAATCTCATGGACAGTTTTGGTGGTCTTTTGCACAGTTATTGGATATAGTGGATTATCATACATTTAATCTCATTAAAAATATCCCCCAAAAAATGCATAACTTGTACTTGATGACTGTTTTGACTGGAAATAACTAAAACAAAGGGTGATGCTGTATGACTAAAGGTCTGTAGACACCTGCTCAACCAATGTTTCTTGGGTATTAGTACTGAGTTTGGCCCCCCTTATTTGCAGTAAGAGCTTCTACTCTTCTGGGAAGGCTTTACATTACATTTACACGTTGCAACATTGCTGTGAGAATTTGATTGCATTCAGCCACAAGAGCATTAGCGAGGCCAAGTGCTGATGTTGAATGACCAGTTCTGGATCACAGTCGTCTTCTACTCATCCCAATGGAGCTCCATCACTCCAGAGAACACAGTTCCACTGCTCCAACGCTTGGCAATCAGCACTATGATCTTAGGCTCATGTGCTGTTGCTCCAGAGGGTCACATTCTATTGGCACTGCTTTTCTATGGGGATTATACAAGCTGTGTGTACTCAGTTGAATGTCTGTGTCAGCAATGGGAGCATCTTAATGTAACTGAATTCACTCATTAGGAGGGGTGTCTGGATATTTTTGGACATCTAGTGTATCTTATTAGAGATTTAGAAATGTCCTGTGGCTGCGCACATTTGTGAATTACAGTCACTCCTTCATGCAGTAACTGACTGCTGCTGCACATCATGGCACACACTTCATTTCACATCAAAGCTCTGAAGCGGTTCAGCAGCTCATGACAATTACTTTGTTTAACATTTCAGTTTAACTCAGTTAAGAGCTTCCTGTTGGTGGACTGAGAGGGAATGATGATTTCAGATAAAAGTGATGAGCTTCGCCCTTTAATAAACCACCCAGTTGAGTGATTAATGAGCCACTTCTGCTCTAAACTCACTGAACTTAAGCCTGGACCTAATTAAAACTTTAACCACCAATCATAAATACTCTCCAAACCTCGGGATAATTCTGGGATAAAAAGTACAAATTGCTTCTCAACAAGTCAATTTGGGGAATGAAGTAGAAAGAGTGGGAAAAAGAGTATGTTTTAGATATGAACATCTATGTGTTTGGTCATTTTTAAGTCTTAGGCTTTAGATATGAATGTCATTGTTTTGGTCATTTTTAGATCTTGGGCTTTAGATATTTAATATAAATTTTTTTGGTCAATTTAGGTCTTTGGTCTAAGATATTGAATATCACTGTGTTTGTTCATTTTAGGTCATGGGACTTAGATATGAATATCAAGGTGTTGAGGCTTTTTAGTTCTTGTCTCTTAGAAATGAATATGAGTGTTTTGATCATTTTTAGATCTTGGGCCTTAGATATGCATATCAATGTGTTTGGTCAATTTAGGTCTTGGGTCTTAAATATGAATATCAAGGTATTGAGTGATTATAGGTCTTGGGCTTTTAGAGGTGACTATTAGTGTTTTGATCATTTTTAGATCTTGGGCTTTAGATATGCATATCAAAGTGTTTGGTCATTTTAGGTCTTGAGTCTCAGCTATGAATATCTGGGTATTTTCTTGTTTTTTTGGCCATGGTGGTGCCACACTTCCAGACGTTTTGGTTCTAAAGTGTGCTTTGACAGTAGCTGACTGACTAACAAAAGACAACTTGACCACTGATTGACAAAACTAGCCTTCACACAGCCTGGGTCAGTCCCAACAAAACTTTTCATGAACAGTGTCACTGTTGTGTGTTTTAACTGCAGGGTTCATTGTGCTCCGCTCAGCTTCACTAGCTAACACCTCTGAAAAACATTAAATCCTATCTTTGCAAGTTAGTAGTAGTAGTGTAGCAGTAAAAGTAGTACAACTGTGTTGAAACACAGTAGTAGTTAGTAGAAGTATTTCACATAGTGTTGAAACTCCTGGTTTAGTGAGCTGTGGAAGTCCTCTCACTCTCACTTAATACACAGGTTTAATTTTTTAGGATATATTTTTCAAGAGACTGGATATGTTCTTAAAACGAGAACGTCTGGGTACAACATATGAAATTTGGGGCTAATGGGACCAAAAACCTGTTAAAATAAAATAATTGCTTATCTGTTCCTGCACAGTTTCTGTTGGTCATAGTCAGATCCTTCATCAGTGATCACAGGCCATTGCCCACAGGATGCTGTTGGCTGGATATGTTTGGTTGGTGGACTATTCTCAGTCCAGCAGTAACAGTAAGGCATTTAAAAACTCAGCAGCACGGCTGTATCTGATCCACTCAGACCAGCGCAACACACATTAACACACCACCACCATCACCCAAATAATACCTGTTATTTGGTGGTCGTGACCACTGAAGAATAGGGTAAAATGGGTCTAACAAAGTATGCAGAGAAATAGCTGGTCTACAGTCTGTAATTGTAGAACTACAAAGTGCTCCTATATGTAAAATATATATATTTTATGAAGTGGCTACTTGGTGTTTATCAGTGTGTTTGGTCATTATTTAGTTCTTTGACTCTTTTGTTCTCTTGTGTGTTTCTCTTCTACAGATGCAGTTTCTGCTCTGCTGTGACCTCTCCTCAGCCCTCCTCAGGCCGTCCTTTACTTCATCCTCCTGCCATTCTGTCCGTCCTTCTGTTTCTCTTAGTATGCTTGCTCTTTTATCTGTGGTGAGAATAAATTGTGTGTGTGTGGACATTTTAAGTGATTTAAAGTAATTTTTAATCAGCCATTTTACTGTACTGCTCTTTACCTCTTTAAATTGGGCTTATATCAAAGAACAGACTCCAAATGCATTTGATGTAGGCTGGTTGTCAATATGTCAATATTACCATATTTTATTTTTTCTTCATTTGCTTGCCCATATGTTCACTATTTGCTGCTTCTTGGCACTGTGTTCATACATTAAATAGTAAAATAGTAAAATATGTGTACATTCATTTTTCTAGAGCACAAGGTAAGTAATGTCAAATATTTATTTTGGGAATGAGAGATTCACCTTTGGGCAAGGAAGTTTTTGCTAATGTATGCATATCTGTATCATATAATTAATTAAACAGTGACATGTAAAATGCATCAGTGTGCTCCCTCTTACTTTGACTTTAAGAGAAGTGAAAAACCCCCTGAGGGCGAGCCTTTCAGACCGAAACACCAACCTAACCACATCTGTTCATCAGCAGCTTAAAGTCTTTAGGCTCATACAGCCCTCCAGAAACTCCCAAGCTTTCAATTTGCTCAGTTTGTCTGGCCATCAGCTGTTACTAACTGTTCGGGTACTTGCCCATTGCCAGTGGCTGTTTAGCCAAACTTCCTTCTGAGCAAATAGATTGGCCTTTGTTGTTGTTTTTCGATTTCTGTGCCTGGAATCGGTGCTTGTCATTGCCCTAATCAACCAAACAACTCCCATCGTTTATCAGCGCACTCTGATTGGTGCATATAAAAAGTGTATAGAGGATACAGATGGCTGTGCTACAGATGCCTGACTGAAACCAATGAACACAAAGTGAGGGCCTGCAAGTCTTAGAGTGTTTTTTCTATACACATCCACTCCAGCAGTCAAAACCCCAGTCCTCTCTTTGATGCCTGTCACAATTATTAAATGTTAATCATAAATGAAGTACATCATATAATGGAATCAGAACTATTTTAAAGGAATCCAATATTTTTCAAACTAATCACTATCTGCTAGCCACCTTTGTAGTATGCAGTTCATTACCACAGATGCCAACCAGGGGGCCCCTTGCCAACTTCTGGGTTGTTCCTGTACTATTATTTAAAAAAAACTGGTTAATCATGTTTTAAAAAATAATGTAGAAATCTGGAACTAAGAAATGGAAAATAAAATGTGGAGATGAGGATGAAAGTCTTAAAGAAATGGGTGGTGTTAATATTATGCCATTTGTTTTGGCTTGTATTTGGACAGCAAGAAGTAGTGGATCTGGGGCTTGTCTAACAAAGCAGGTTCAGTTTAGACTTTCTGAGTAAGTTTCAGCTTTTGTCATTGTGACTGTGATCAATCCAGGTTTAGATATTTAAACTGTGATTAATCCAGGTTTAGATACTCAGACCGTCATCAATCCAGGCTTAGCTACTCAGACTGTGATCAATCCAGGTTTAGATACTCAGATTGTGATTAATCCAGGTTTAGATACTCAGACTGTGATCAATCCAGGTTTAGATACTCAGACTGTGATGAATCCAGGTTTAGATACTCAAGTTGTGATTAATTCAGGTTTAGATACTCAGACTGTGATCCATCCAGGTTTAGATACTCAGACTGTGATCAATTCAGGTTTAGATACTCAGACTGTGATCAATCCAGGTTTAGATACTCAGACTGTGATCAATCCAGGTTTAGATACTCAGACTGTGATCAATCCAGGTTTAGATACTCGTTGTGATCAATCCAGGTTTAGATACTCAGACTGTGATCAATCCAGGTTTGAGTACACAGACTGTGATTAATCCTCAAGCGTGTGCACATGAAAACATGATATTTACGACAAACAACCAATTGCGTAAAACATGAGGAGCAGTCGCCAAAGAAGGGAAGAGAAAACATGCTACTTAAATATGCAGAACGTAAAGCATTCATAACAGTAAAAAGCTTAAATTAGCTGGCTAAGCAAGAAATACTGCGTTGTGAGACAGACCCCTGGATCCAGAACGCTGAGAAGGTTATCTGTAAATCTAACTGTAACTTAGAACCCCACACAAGCATCCATCATCAGCAATACACAACTTAGCCAATTATAAATGTATATAATTTAGACAGTAGTTTTTGTTATTAGTTAGCTGCTAATTCTACAGTACATCAGCTAGCAAGATGGAGGGACCCAAAAAAATCTTGATTAGGGCCCACAAAATGCTAGAGCCAGCCTTGCATTGACTCATTTATAATAGAAGCCAACAGGCAGGTGCTGAAGCTAAAGCCCTTTGACTTCTATTATATGCATGTTTTGCGTCAATATTTTTTTTCCTGTTTTTTTTTAAATACAGAGAAATTGTTGTCCATGGTAATGTATTGTTTGCTACAGATGCAGCAGGGATTAGGTTGAAAAAAAAGACAATTCCTTGAAGCACCTATTAATTCTCCCCATCCCTCATGCTTTCTCGCAGTGTACACGCACAGTCACACAAACTCATAGCACTTGCCAATTCAGGAGGCTCCAGGAGAGAAAAAAGAAATGACTGGGAAATTACAGGTTTGTGATTGCCTCAGGCATTCAGCCTTTAGCTAATCAAGATGAGACAGGCACTTTTCCTTTTTCCTCTGCAATTTGTCACATTTACATTTTTTTTTCTTCCCCCAAGTTATCATTCAGAGATAGTAACAGGCATAATTTGATATCTCTTTAGAATGATTATGCTCTTTTCTGCTGGATGATCACTGAAGTGAAAGGGAAGCAGAGATACTGCTTGTTGTTTTAATGTAGCATGACTCTGGGGATGGCCTTTGTCTTATGTAAGAGTCCCATAATGCACCTAGAAGTTATTAAAGAAGAGAAAATCCCCATGCAGTCATTCTTTGATGCATATTTGATGCATTTCTTCAGATTCAATTGAGTAACCGAATGCACATCTATCGAGAGCTAGGCTACACATTTCACTGATCATGTTTGGAAGGACATAAGATTAGTTAAAGTACACCTAAAAATGTCATTTAAGACAAAAAAATAGTTATGTTTCAAATAATGAATTTTTAAGTATTTTTATGGATTTGTTAAGCCCAAGAAAGTAAAAAGAATGATACAGAACACATCTCATAACATGTACATAAGAATACAAAGACTTGAATATGCATAAGTATACTAATTGAAAACACCCCTGTGTCCACCAGCCATTCAAACTCCACTGTTCCCCCAACTACCATGGTTGTGCTACGTTATCACCTTCAGTGAATTGCACTGATTGTTTGGGGAATACAATCCTACGAGTTTAAAACAGGCCCCCCCACCTTTTGCCTTCCAAAGCGTGTCCCTGGAGGTGAGCTGCCTGGCCACGAGAACACAATTTGAGAGAAACTTCCATTCATTTTGGGCTGATTTCACACACGAGCCATCTTAGATCACCTTTGGCCCGGTCCTCTGCTAGAGAGACTGGACTGTCTGTCATTTGATCTGCAGTTTAATTAAGGCTGTTTTCTCTGTGTTTTCTTACTCTTGTTCTCATCTCCAATTCTACAGTGTATTTTACACAAACAACTAATGATAGAGGAAGTAGTAGCTACAATTCATTTTGTGGTGAAAGTGTGCACTGGTGCTAAATGGTTGTGGTGATTTATGTTACCTTTACACGTTCACAGAAATTAGCTGGGCAGCTCCTACAAACAGTACGGTTATTTGCACCACAGGCAGGAGCCTGTTCAGTCTCACACATTCCTGCCATCTGCGCATGAGAAGCCGATCAGTAAGTAAAACGATTGACCTCACCTGCTCCCCACTGGAATAGCGCAACAATGCTAACTAGGACAAAGCAGTGCAGCTGGAGGTGATGCTAGTGCTAGCTTAGCTGGCATGCTAGCAGAGCAACACACTTCATCATTAATTCATTTCACTCATTTACTTTTTATCCTTAATTACGTGTCAATGGAGCATCCAGTAGCTGGAATTGATCCTGCCTTGTGGTGTGTTGAGCTGTTAGCATGCTAGCTAAGCAAACACTAGCAACTAATGCTAGCTAAAACAGTAGAATGCTTAGCCAGTATGCAATCATCCCCACACACCCTATTTGATGCTCTTTAGATAAATGTGGTACAGAAATTTGACCCTTTTTTAAAAAATTGCTGTTAATTTACGTTAGCTAATTGTTAACTGCTCCGTCCAAACATCATGAACGTTAGCTACATTTGTTCAGGCATCTTCTGTATGTAAAAGAATCTACATTCTAGTATATTGGACCACGATAGGTGCAAATTTCTGTCGTACAAAAATAAGCAGATATGCAGAGCCTCTCATTTTTCACATGTAAGATAAGAAAAAAAAACCCCATAAGTTCACAGTTTTTAATATGTGAGATATTTCAAAATGTTTTCAGAACATTATGTATTACTCAAAGGCATTTTTGGTGCATTTTCATACATTTTTAAATGTATTTAATAAATACAGAACAATAAAGAACAACTCTGTCTTTTCAATTAAAAAACATAAAACTGTGGCAACACATTTGACACAAATACCAACCTCATAATAAAACATTCAAGAGGAATTAACCAATTAAATTTATGAAGATTCAGCTAAACTGGACACTATTTTCAGTTTGACCTGCCCATGTTCCACCCACAAATGTGTTCTTTTGTAGTTGCTGTTGCTAATTTGGACAAGCTTTACAAAACACTGGCAAAAATCCCACTTGGTCAAATCTTTTTCATTAGACGAGACATTGTACTGAATAGCTACAACTACAGCTCAGTGCATAGTGTTTTAAACAGCAATCACAACAGTATGTAGTGATTCTAAATCAACATTGTAGCAGCCTAATTTGAATAATAGTTGGATAGACATTGTAGGCAACAAGCACAGGGTAAAAATAGGGACACAAAGAAGCTGACTATTTCTTCTGAATCCATCTTTATTTGGATAGAAAACATTGGCTAAGTGGCAGGAATGGTGCATCATTAGCTTCTCTCTCCTTCTCCCATTTGCGACTGTGCTAGTGGAGGATAAATCACTGGGTTATTGCTCCTGGAGGCCTCATGAATCAGACAGCCCTCCGTGGTGAGAAATTAAAGGCTTTCTAATGGGCTGAGCTGCTGGAACATATTGCAATTGTGAACACAATGCCTACCCTTCACATACTGATTTGTGCATCTAGTTCTGCCTCACAAACCTTGCAACTATGAATGCAACAAGTTGTCTCGATGAGATTGAGTGGGAAGTGCTTGGGCAAATTTGAGTAATAAAATTAAGAAAGCCCAATTG